GTTACCTTTCCAAGTTATCTAAGCTACAATTTAGAAAAGAGATCTGGCTAAGCAGATCCATGTGGATGATCTTCAGCAGCAATACAGGTCAGACTGGGCAGCTTCTGCAGACTCTGCTCTCTGCTCAGATTGTCCTGTGGGACATTATGATTTGTATTTTGTTCAGAGGGGGCTAATATAGTAACAAAAAGAAGCAGCCACTTGGTTGTAAACTAGAATTTACAGAAAGATTGGCAAAAATACAATAGTCTTTAAGTCTAGAAGAACTAAACCCTTCAGGGAACTGCCCTGTTTCATGTGGATATCTCATTCAGTAGTACTCTGTAGGAGCCCAGGTACAGATATATATTCTGCGATATATTAGAAGGCCATCAAGCTAAGGTTAGGTAGGATGGGCCCACAAACTTTGTGTGTCAGGGATGCTCTTTTCTTGAGTCCTTATTTTTAAATACCATTAAAAAAAAAATAAGGGTATGTATCTAAGAAGAGGTTTTAGGGTAGGATTAGTGCACTATGAATGATGAAGTTGCTGTAAATTATTTGGGAGCGTGGGTTGTTAGGGCCATGGCACTGGGACCTACTTCACGGTACAAGAAAACCTTGTAATTTTTGGCCTCCTTCCCTGCCAATTTTAGTGTTTAATTCTTAGGTCTTACCAACACTGCGATATGTGAATTAGCATTAGCTCTTTTGGAATGGTTTTCCATGTGGAGGAGGGTCTATTGTGAAACATACATGATTTTTTTTTTTGCATTCTTTCTACTTCTTTCCATTACACAACTATTACTTTTCTTTAGAAGTACACAGTATTCCCAAATAGAGTTTCTTACTATTTCTGAATACTGTGTCCTGTTTTGTGGCTGTTATAGAGCAGCTGCAATAGCTAATTTCCTTGTGTAGTCAAGAACCTGAATCTGTATATTCTGTATATTACCTGCTTCACACACCTATATTCAAGAAGATGATGCATACATAGTGCTCAAACCTGCAGAAAGCTGTAAGGTGTTGACTTTGGGTCAAGTCTTCAGAGGTTGTAGATACTAAAACAAGACCGCTGAGCATGTGTATGACATTTTTTACCCCCTAAAGGTTTATAATCTGGACACATATATCCATGACACAACCTCCCCTGCATCCATGCCAAATTTTAAGTCTGATATTTTAGAACAGAGTTATTCAAAGCAAATGCTTTCAAATTTTGTTTGCACAGCCTTTTTTTTTTTTAATTTTTTTTTATTCAGAACCACCTGGAACAGTTGTTTCTTCCCTCCTACCCCTTTTTAATTTCAGCCAGTATGTGATAGGAACAAAAACCTCAAGTCCAGTCTCAAAGTAAAGTTTGACAAAGCTGTCTCAGTTGAAGATAGCTTCTTTATGAGGATTTCTTAAGCTTCCCTATATAAGGAATGCTGATTGCACCACCTGTTAAAACGTTACTAATACTGTAAGTTGTGAGGAGAAGCAGCTTGTAGGTTGACAGTTTGGGGCCTGGACCACACTACTGCTGGAGTTACTCTGCAGGTTGCTTTCTGAACGTTGTCAGCAGAACCTGTCCCCTTTGTGTGCTCCCAAATATGTGGCTTGTGCTCGAGTGCGTACCCTCCTCATTGCAGTGTAGGCTGCATGATTCTCATGGCTCAAGAAATGAATTGTGCACAGTAAAAATGCCTGAGTTTTGCAGTTTTCTCTGTGGATTTCAGTGTTTTCATATCTTTTGCGATGGCAAATGTGGCAGGTGCTGTTAATGCAGAGTTGCTACTTGTTCTTCCCCATCGTCTCACTCGCTCTGAAGTTTTAAATTAATTTCAGAAGTCTGAAAATGGCTTTAACATTGATGCTATTTGCAGCAAAGAGCTTGTCATTTCATTGAAATTTCAAGAAAGCAGTTTGATGTTTGCTCTCTCTTTTTTCCATCCTTCCCCTTTAGCCCTTTGAACGCATTCAGCCCGAGTGGTTTGACCAGTAAAAGTTGAAAGAAGATCACTGTTCTTTAGGAGATAAAAATTTCTTTCAAGTTGGTATAGGATTTCCAACTCTGGCTGAAAGTTTACAACAGTTTGTCCAAGAAGTTGCTGGGTACCCATCTGTATTGGTGCTGCTCTGTTCCCTGTAGCAGGTTGTCAAGCTGACTTGCTCAGCCAGCTCTAGAAGATCAGGCTCCAAGCAGACTTTGTCAGACCCTTCCCAGGAGGTAGAGCTTCATGGTAAAACTTGCACACCTCTTCAGGTCCGTGTCACCAAGCTACCATTTGGAGCCACACCGGGGTAAATGTGTACAGTGCTGAACCTCAATCCTGCAAACCTGGACAAGCCACACTTGGTGTGGTCTGGACTGACTCTTTGTTTTAGTGAAGGGAAGAAAGATAGTTGTGGTGGTAATGGCTAGCTGGTCAGCTTTCTGATCCTTAGCAGGTTGGCCCAGGTGTAAATCTGAAAACAAGAATCAACTTTAACTTTATGGATGTAAGTGCAGGCAGATGATAAGGAGTCTGAAAAGTTCTGCCATTTTGACTGCAATGACTTTTTAAAATAACTATGTTTCCCTTGATATGTACACAATTACTCAATTATAAAAGACCTCTGTACCACTTTTAAGAGCATCTACTTCCAAGCCTGTATTTGGCAGATTAATAAAAAAAAATTGCATGCCTAAACATTGTCATTGATGTGGATTAACTTTCAGGTTTGTGACCAGAGCCTGTGAATCACTTGGAGCATCCCGCTGAAGTGGGGTCTTGCTTCAGTTGCTGCTCCTTTCCAAACATTCCTCTTTGATTTAATTTCATTGCAGCCCCCTTGGTGCTTTGCAGGCTCCACTGTTGTTACAGTGGCAGATGTTATTCAGTGGATATTTCAGCTGAGCTTGCTGGGTTTTTTTGAGTGGTATGAATTCAAGTGGAAAAATCTTTAAGAGAATTACTCAGCATATAACACTCCTCGTGCTCATAAGTCACAGAATTGGGACCACAATTTACACAATTCATGAATCATCATATGCAGAATTTAAGGTTCCCAAGATATTGGGTCGTCTTCACGGAGTATCATTTACATTTATATGTAACAACAAAGCACCAGCTCAAATCTTTATCAGAACTAGTAGGAGATGAAGACAAAAGGCTTCTGTCATCAAGACCTAGATTTGTACTTAAGCCCCAGGTGTGCTCTCAGGTTCCCCAGCATGATTAGGTTATGTGTAGCTGCAGTGGTGTGTGACAGATGTGTTGTCCAGTAGCATTTAGGAAATAAATTGGTGGAAAATACAGCTGTGAAGATACAGCTTGTCACACTCTCAAGTCTTGACTTTTGGTGAGTGCAGCTATAGAGTCTTAATTTTAGCACTGACACTTGATTCTATTGAAGAGAAAGAGCCATCTCTGTTAGGTGAAACTTGGAAGTAGGCAGGTGTTCTTGCACTTCTGAAACATGCAGTGAGGCTCTTTTACAATTTATGTGTGTTCTGTCAGAATTGGCCCATTGCCTTAGGAAGGTTAACACAGCTTTTAGCTGGAAATGTATCTTGGATGATGTTGAAGGGTTTAGAGACACTAGGAGCTATAGCTCAAATAGGAAAAAGGGCCTTGAGGTGTTTCTAAGCTCTGAATTTCTCCCTCCCACTCAACTGTTTTTCCAGCCAGAGTGTTCAGTTTCCCTTGGCCCTAGTACGTTTTGATATATAAATCTCAAAAGCCTTTTAATTAAATGTGTGACTAAGTAATCACCCAGTTTTAAAGTACACCATTTAGGGATGAGCGGATTTCTGTTTAAATCAGGGGAAGCCCAGCTGCTTCTTCCTAGCTTTCCAGAAAATTGCTTGAAAAGCTGCGTGTTGCTAACACAGTATTACTTATAGGTTGATACATTTTTGCAGAGCATATCCTTCATACTTTAAATAATCATAGCTTCTTAGAAATTGTGGTTTTTACAATAAGCACTGATAGGAGAGCGTATTTTGATATCTGCTTAAATTTTAAGAGTTGAGTTGATCAAGTCTGATATTAAAGATCTCACACGTAAGGTTTGAGGGTGCTTTCGTTCATGGAAGAAGTTTTATTTTTATTGAATAAAAATGTCAGGAAGTATTTTCTTTGTACATTGATCTTCAGACAGAAGGCAAAGATTCATTTTTTGGACTGATCTTTTTTAATGTTCTTAGTGTAATCTTAAATTGTTTTTGGTTTTGCCCCTCATTCTTTTTCATTTTAACTTAAAAACTTAGAAATACATTTCTGGATGTGTTCTGTTGAATCAAAGCATTGCATCTGTTGCTGCAAGCCAGTGAGAAATACAGTTATTTCTGCACAAGCCTCATCTGACATTAGAAAGCAGTTTTTGATTTAGAAAAAGCCATTGGAGGGATCACTTGTTTTATTGTTAAATAATTTTATGGACTAACAACTGAGCTCTGAAGAGTTTTACACAAGTTTCTTCCCACATGTGCAACTTATCTAAATTCCATGGTTCAGAAATACTGACATTTTTACACTGAAACATCCAAACAATTTACTGCTGTGTCTGTGACCCCACAGGTCTACAGGTTTATCTGTTCTAGGATTCCCCACAGTAGCTCACGTTGTCCAGAACTGTACCTTTGTGTTGCTAAGCTCACTGTGTACAGTATCCAAAAAAGACTTCAACATAAAATCTAAAGTTTTACACTTAAAACATTTATTGTATGCATTTTTATGAAAAACAGTGCAAGTTGCACTTTTCTGACAGTTCTGTGTTTTAATTTGAGTATCTAGAGCTTGTTTATCTCTGGCTTGCTTTGTCTTGTATTTCTGGTTCTTACAGCATCACCTCTATTTTAAAAATTGTGCAGTCTTAAGGGGTCAGATGGGCACAATCCCAATACTGAACTGTGCTTTATTGGACACAGTAGTCAATATAGCCACTCTTGCTCCCTGTACTGTGTTTAAAAAAAAACCCAAAAAAACTCTTAGCACTCAATCACCCAATGAAGACTAAATTTAGTTTCTGAAACTATACATATACATATATAAAAACCTGTGGCTTTGATTATTGTTTCAGTTATACATCTTTTTTTTTCTCTCCCCAGGGCCGATTACTGGAAATCTCAGCCAAAAAAATTCTGCGATTACTGCAAGTGCTGGATAGCAGACAACAGACCTGTACGATGGTCTACCATACTATATCAATGATTTTGAAGTACTAGGAATTGAATTACAGGCTTTTAACATTACTTTTGATATTAATCTATTGATGTATGAAATTTATTTTTTTAAAATGCCTTTGTAATACTTGTGATATTTAAAATATATTATGTGGGAGCCAGATACCTACATACAGAATAGTATGTGCCATTCTGTTTGGCAGTAAAGATAAGAACTGAAATATCTGACCCTGCTTTTTCTTCAAGTTCTGTAACATAACATTTGATCTGTCTTGAAACTTTGTCCACGCCTGTTCCTAGCCTTCATATGCAAGTAGAAAGCAAAACCTGGCATATGTACTGTTTATATACAGTAGGCCTGGTACAGCCAGCACTCTTAGCATTTAAAGCAGGGTTCTTTCATTTCACACAGCCCACAGAACTGTTACTGGGTTACAGAAAGGTGTTTCTGACTTGCAGATGCCTTTTGCAGACTACTATACCCCTTGGTTTCTTACTTGGAAATAAGTTTTGCATTCCTGACTCAATGCCAGGAGTACTCCTGGAGCTGAGCTTCATCTGGCTTACAGTTAGATACCTGCTGTTCAGAATGACAAGTGTGAGCTAATTGGTTTAGGTTTCTTGTAGTCAGTGAACAGAAATACATGTTAATGGGGGGGATTTGGGTAACTTACAAAGTCTGTCTTTAAATGAGATTAATCATCCCCCGGATGTGCATCCTATGCACATTGGTTCGTGCAAAGAAATTCTAGGGTTACTAGGTCAGTCTTAGGCACCTAACATCTGAACACCTAAATGAGCTCAGATGTTTTTTGTGAGAACCACATGAGGACTTCGACCGTTGTACCTGTAGAGTTTCTGAACTCCTTCCATTTCCTGCTGGCTTCAGTCTTTCTGGCAGCTTTTTGGCTTGCAGACTGTTCTGTTGTCCTCAGTTACCCAACTCTTCCCTTTTCCCCTCTCTCTCAATAGATTTGTGGACCTGCAGACTAGTTTAAGTTCATGGGATATTTGTGGAGCATAGCATAATCTAATTAAGGACTGTAGCTAATACTTGGCACTCTTAAATAAGACATATGGTTTTTAAAAGTTTGTGTGAAAATAGGGGAAAGAAAATCAAGGGATGATACTTGGAAGGATAGCATGGAGAGAGAGCCCAGATTCCTTGTTACTTGTCACTGATATGTGTGCTGAACAGTATTATTTGAAACATTATACAGACTATGAAATTTTATGGTACCATTTTGGAGTGTTACTGATTTTTCATAATTTCTGTGTGGAGTGTTTCTCAGTATTCCTCAATTCCTGTAGCCATTTTATTGCTGTAGTGTTTGCTGTAAGTGTTTTCAGAACAGGTTACATTTAGGCTTATTCAACTAAGTTTAGTCTAACTAAATTTTAGTTAAATTAAAATTGTATGATATGTGTTATATTTACTGGGTTTTTTTTCTCGCTTTTAAGAGCATTGAGTTTCATGAAAGAGGAAAGAATCATAAAGAAAATGTGGCAAAAAGAATTAGTGAGGTAACTCAACTATCTTATTTGCATGAATGCTTATTTTTAATCTCTTTCATTATCAAACTTGTCTAATTTATTCTCTTGGGGTTTTTGTTTTGTTTTAGATTAAGAAGAAAAGCTTGGAAAAAGCAAAAGAAGAAGAAAACATGTCAAAAGAATTTGCAGCAATGGAGGAGGCTGCAATGAAAGCCTATCAAGAGGATTTGAAAAGGCTTGGAATTAAGCCAGGTAGTTCATATAGCTGCCAAAGGATTAAAGACAGAATTGAAAGAATATTGAATAGGAATGTTTTTTTCTTAAATTAGTTTTTAGGAACATGAGAGGAGGCTTCCAGGACTGTGTTTGCTCATTTATTATTTAAAAAAAAAAAAAAGAAAAAAGAAAAAAAAGTAAGGAGTTTGCAAATTGCCAGTAGTAGAAGTTGTGATACAGAATGTTTTTTGCTACAGTGTTCTCTGGTCCATGGAGCAATCTGATTTGGAGTAGAAAGATGAAACAGTGTGATAACAAAAAATAGGCTGTAGTTGGTGCTTTGAATCAGCAGTGCAGCTTCCCTTAGTTGATTTTATATTTCACTTTTGCTGATTGGAGACAAAAGTTTCTGTTGAGTAGAAGAGGTTGGATTCCCACTGCTGTCCAACAGTGGAGATGAGAATCTCCTACTCAGCTTGCAGTTGAGCAAGTACTTTTGTTCTGCCCATGTGAAGACATACTATCCTTTAAAAAAAAGCTTGTCATTTCAAGCTCATGTAGAAGCCTTTTCATAACTTTTAGTTTCTTTTTGATTGTTTAGTTAGAACTCGTAGGTCCTTATGGTTTTTCATCTGTATTACCCATCTTTTGATATTTGGACTTTCTTACAATGCTACAGTATTGGAACGATGCAAGATTTTTTGAATATCGTCTTTTAAGTTAACCTGCTATGAGTCTAAGAGTGATGAGTGAAAGTACTCATGAGAACAACATTCCTATATGCTGTTGCTCAAGAGTGACTAATATTTAAGGTCAGATTAGTATTCTTTTTTTTTTTAAAGGCAATATTATTTTCTTTAAGATGATGTAGGTCCCAGCTCGACACAAAGTAAAACACAGAGTAACCCAGTGGAAACTAAAGCAAAGAAAGAAAAGAAAGAGAAGAAGGAAAAGAAGGAAAAGAAAGAAAAGAAAAAAAAGACACCTCAGGACCCCTCAATGCCACCAAAAATTGAAACGAAGGAGTGGGTGCAAGGATTTTCTCCTGAAGGCTATACATATTACTACAACACAAGAACAGGAGGTAAAAACTAGTGAGGAGCAAATGCAGATATAGTTATTGGAGATAAATGAGCAAATACTACCTTAATTTCTTTACTCTTCTGCTCTCTCAGTAGAAGCTGATTATTAAAATGTGAACAATTAGTTGGAGTTTTGATATTTAAAATTCAAGACTTAGGCATCTAGAACTTCTGTTTTTGCTCTTTGTTAATAATAGGAGAGTACTGTAATTCTACAGTTTCTGGAAATGTTTAGCCTTTCAGAGGTTAAGTATACAAAAGATAGCTGTGTTCTTCTAAAGAACCTTTCTTAACCAGGAATTGATTGTGCCCGAGTGAATGAGAGCAGTTATGGATTGCTGTCTGATTGTTTCTTTCCACATTTACAGGATTTAGCTGACTGACTTTGTTGAGGAGCTATGTGTTATAATCTAATTTAGAGCATAAAAGCAACCCTCTTTTATGATTAGTGAGAGTATTACAGACTTTCTTAGAAATTTAAGGATTGACATTAGTATTTACCATAGTTTTTCTTATACAAGATAACTTCCAAAAGGTAAAAACCTTGTGTGTTTAGTTTCTCCTGGCCTGTACTACCATTTAAAAAAAAAAAAATCACACCATTTTTGTACCAAAATTCCAGTATCTATCTATCAACCACAGTAATGGAGTCTGGAAGGTGATTAGTCCCAGTAAAGCCAACTGTAATTATGATGCTTTGGTTTATTGTTCATACCATAGTTTGACCAAGGGTGATTTTATTCCAGTGAGGTGTATCTATGTTACTTGTTTGTATGTGTGCACACATCGGTGTCACACCATTTAGATCTGTTTTTTTTCTAAAGATTATTAAACATAAATAGGACTGAATGATGAATGAAATATGTTTTTGTGTTTTAAGAATCACAGTGGGAGAAACCTAAAGGATTCAAAGGCAACTCTCAGAACTCACAAACGGTAATCAAATACTGTTATTCATACTTTTCTTTGTCCTTGTAAACATTTATCAGAAATAAGCTAAGCAGTTTACAAGTCTTCTGATTGCAGAAGATAAATTGTTTGCTCTTAGTAAACTTAGGAAAACATAATTTGAATAGATAGAATATTTTATATTTGATGAAAATTGAAACTTTACAAATCTTTTTTCGCTAATTTGTTTATGAAGGGAAAAGAAGTGATAGTGGTGGCTGTGTTTTTACAGAATAGGTGTTTTTGATGCTTCAGTCCATAAAATGGAAAGCTCTGGGAAATTCTGAATAAATTCTGTTCAACCTTTTGTGAATGGAATTAAATATAATTAAAAAAAAAAAATCTTACACATTTGAAATAGTTAAGACTCCATTATCTTAGGAAAAACTGAGATTGCATTTTCAGATGCATATTACTTTGTTTTCCTTATTTAAGGAACAGGAAAACTTGAAGAATAGTCAAAAGACAGAAAGATTTCTTATTAATGGGCTTTCCCCTGATACTTAGTACTCCAGGTTTTTGTGCTTCACAACATTAAAAATAGGATTTTTACAACACTGTGGTGTTACATTTTCCCATTTTCAAAATAGGTGTCGTATGTACAGTATGATTTAAAGTCAGTTTTGTTTGCTAATGTTGGATTTTATGTTAGAGATCAAAAAAGCCTGGCCTTTTCAGAATGCTTGACATTGTGTAGCTCTGTTTTGTTACATCTCAGAAGGTAGCCTGTGCTTGATACCGGTTTATTTACAGTCAGAGGAGAAAATGGTTATAATTGTGTGTATTTTTAGGCAGTTGAATCAATTCACAAAATGTACATGAAGTCTTGCCTGTATTCTCTCTCTTGTTAAGGCAGTGTTTATCACAAAAATACAGGCTTTTTCCATCCGGTGTTCATTCCCAAGAGACTGCACACCTCATGTCAGAGCTGCCCATCACATGCTACTCTGGCTTTCTTATTCCTTTATCCTGTGGTTTTGCACAACTTGTTAACCAGCACTTCAACTTTATCTTTTCAGTCAAGGCATAGCTTTGCAATATTTATAAGCCAGTCTTACTGGCTTACAGCCTTCCACTTAAAGAGGTGGTCCTGTGACTAATCTTGTACAGTCCTTGGTGCATGTTTGCCCTGACAGTGAGCTAGTTCATAGTGCTTTGCAGGCTTAATTCCTTGCCATCAGCTCTCTGGGTAATTGGAGAGATGTTGGTGTGGGGAGAGCAGATGGAGGAAAGAAGGAGCTCCCTTCTTGGCAACAATTTGAAGTTAGCTCATCTCAGCTATATCATAAACACACACCTTCAGCCTTGGATATCTCTCTAATGTCACATGGCTGTATTTTGCCATTCCTCCCTCACCCTGCTCAGTGACTTTGTCATGTCTTGAGTTATTTTTGCTATTGCTAAAACCAGGCATCCTTATTTAGTCTGAGCTAAAGATATTGGGAACATTTCAGATCTCTAACAAGGACTCACTGCTCAGAAATTAAAGGGCAGGCTTGCAATATGTAGTGCGAGTGAGATTCACAGGCCCTCCTTGTTTTACAGCACATCAGCTTGCTGCTCAGACTTTGTAAGAGGTGGAAAGGACAGAGTAATGAAAAGGCATGTTGAAGACTACCAGTAGCTTCAGTTAGATTGACATCATGCTTGTTAGCATTTATGTAGCTGGATACTCAGTATGTCTAGTGTCGAATACCTGCTGAAAACCTTTAAGAACCAGGTCTAAAATGGTCAGGATCTAACTAACAAAAAGGATAGACTGTAGTTAAGTCTAGTTTTTTGTCCTCTTTCTACTTATATAAAATTAATTTTTCTTTTGTTGAAACTGATAGGCTAAAACTTTTGAGAGCAAAACCTTGAGGAAACTTGCTTACTGAAGGCTTTCTTGCCTTTGCCTGCTCTGAATGTACTCGTACAATTTTTCCTGTTTATAGAGCAGGTGTGAGAAATTTAACTTATTATTTTGTTGTGTTTTTTAAGAAAACAAAGTTTCAATAGAGTATTAAGCAAATGTATAGGTATCTGTGTGCAAAAGCCTATCTCTATGTGTCTGTATATACACATAAACATTTATTAATGCAAAAATAATGTATGGTGAAGATAGATGTTCTGCCTAATAAAGGGGAGTGAGCAGTACTTAAGGAGCAGTGAAGTAGTTGTATGTGTAAGTGTTGATAAAAATCAGATTCTTAAGGAAGATCTAAAGTCATGGGATTAGCTGTGGCTGATTCTGCAGAACATCTTTATTTTAATTACACATCCACAAAGACATACCATCACCTTCTGCCACATTTCATATGTAATTTATTAATCAGTAGGGAAAAACAGTGCTTTGTTGAAACTGGTGCTTTACTAAAGAATTTAATTCATTGGCATGCATTCTGGCAAAGTTTGATTCTTTGATTATTTTTGGCGAAGATCTATTTTGGGATAAATTTTAGAAGTTTTTTTAGTTTATGTTTAATTTGTGATAGTATTTATTGGTATTGGTATTCTGTAGCCATGAGTCTTCCAGAGAAATTTTATCAATCTCTACTAAAGATGATGACACAAACAGGAGATTACAACCTCAGGGGTGAATATTTTGCAAAATAAAACCCATTTAAAATAATGGCCCATTTGAACTGTATGGCAACATTTACTGTACTGTCTCATACTAATTATGCACTGTTTGAAAAAAAAATCGTGTATGTGCATTTGCAGTATTTTGAGTTAAGCAATTCAATATCATTTGAGTCAAAGGGAATACTTTCTAACAACTTTAGGGGTTTAAGCTTTAAAACAGTAAAATTATCATGAACAAAAAATACTCAAGGGTTGAGTAATCTTCTAAATGATGCTTTGCCTGATCTTTAAAACTTTTTTAATTAGCTCCTCTATCTTTTTCTTAGGCAGCAGAGTGGGTAGAAGGTGTCTCTGAAGATGGTCATACCTATTACTATAACACACAAACAGGAGGTAAGGAGAGGTTGCTTTCCAGTTAAGCTCTGTTTCAGAAGAGAGTGTTTTCAGACAAGTATTTTGTTGTGCAAATAACTGCATTTTTAAGGCCATTACTAATGTTTGTATTTTTTAAGCTGCTGCCTTAGTTGAAATACACTCGTTGCTTAAGTCAGTGCTGTCTTTTTAGCTATATTGTCAGTGTGTATACATTTGTGTTTCATAGGTTTGTTTTAGACATTCAACTTAAAACTCTAAACTATGGGTTCTTCTTTTCTACAAGTGTATTGAAATTATAGTTTGGAAACCAGAAAGGGGGAAGCATTTTGTTTTGACAGGTATGTAGGACTGAATAAGAATCTCCTAAACTTTTCCTCTTACTGACATAGCATTGGTAAGAGAGTCCAGAATCCTACCTCCTACTTCTTTTCCCTGTTTTTTTTCCTACATGGGGAACTTTGTGGTAACTCCCTCAGAACAGGCATCTGTTTTCTAAATCTGTTTGAAACATTTTAAGGTCAATGATGCCTCTCTGGAGAGCAAGTGATTTTATGCTGGCTATGAATTTTCCTTCTGCTGTTGGGTATGAAGAGGCATTCCTAACGATGCCAAGAATAGAAAAAAACCCAAAACCTTTCAGTTTTTCAACATGCCATTCCCCTGCCCAAACAATTTGTGATTTCTTTTGAAAGGGAAAGGAGGTGCTTGTTATTTTTCAATATTGCCTTCTAAGTTGAGATAAATTTTATGCCTTTGGTTGTGTTGGCTTTTAATGTTCTTCATGGACACATGACACTCGTGAAGAATGTCTTTGTAATCATTGTGTTTGGTAAAAATTTGGCTTGTGAAATTTTAAAGTGATCCCTTTTATATAGATGTGTCTTGGAAATGCTTGAAAATTGCTTGTCAGCTCTGTTAACGCTAGTCCCATCCTGTGAAGACAAGACAAATTTTTAGCTAATGGAAACAGTAGTAGTGTCTTATCTCAGGCACGTAATTTAGGAGACTGATATCTCTAAGAGTGAGTCATGCTTTGGAAGGCTGCACCTTAGTCCACTGGCTCTATGTGACACCTAGGGAAGTGAATTTCTCAGTTACTCATGTAAAGCTAGATGACAGCAGTACTCTTAAGAGCCTGTTTTGTTCACGCAAAGTCACTCATTGCCAGTTTCTTACACCTTTACTTCTTCAAGATACATCTAGGTGCATATCTGTTAAGTGTTGTTTTCAGTTAGGGATTTCTTTGGAAATAGATAAATTAATTGGAGAAAGAATAGTTTTATTACATTTGAAAGCAGCTATAAAAGTATAGATTGAAAGTTGGTGTACTTTTGCCTTATTGTAACTAAATTCAGTTTTAAGACCACTGAGTCAACTTTTATTTAAATATTTCCTCTTAGTATATTTGCTGGAATACTACCTTTTCATTGAAGATTAGGTCATATCCTGTACATACTTTCATGTCTTTTCAGAGTGATGTTTGCATTTCCTTGTTTGCTTGACAGCTCTTTAGTTAGAGGCTTAATGTTACTGAGCCAGGTAACACAGGGAAGGCGTTTATCTTCCCAGAGATCTGAGGCTCACAGTTATTGTTCTTTACCGTATTTTTATAATCACTAGACAATTCAAATAAGTACCTCTAGAGGGCAATTTGTCTGTCCTGTGTAAGGATGAGAGAGACCAGTCTTGTGGACCACAGTTCTCCATGAATAATATTTTTCTTAAACACTAAATAAAACAAGCTTTATCAATGGTGAACTCAGCTGTCATGACTGTATCTCTGCTGGGAGGTGAAATGTTATCTTTCTGATTATGTTTATTAAAACAAGCATACTGAACAAAGGCAAAAGCCTTGTGTTAAATTATTTGCTGTATTTTCACATAAGGCAGCACTGCTTCTGAAAGGTGTGAAAGCAATAACAGATCAGAATTAGAAACATAAATAATGTGGTTGTTCAAATATCTTGGACAGTATCCACATGGGAGAAACCGGATGGTTTTGTTTCATCTTCAAATGAGAAGAGTCAACGTGACAAGCATTCTGAAGAGCTTGCTGAAACAGATTCCAAAGCGTCTGAATCAGACTCAGAAGACAGTGAAAATGAAGCACAGAGTTCAGAAACAAATTTCAAGGTAAATTTTCTCTTCAGATTTATTTTGCATACAGTATTAATTTTCTAGTATAAGATGATTTATCTTTTATCTCTTGTGATAGGCTGTACTCACTGTAATGAGGGTAAACCATGTGACTGAAAGCAGAAGTTTGCACTTGTTTAAATAGTAAAATGAATCTTTATTCAATTATTTGGCCCATTAGTGGCACTGTTTCAGAAAAGAAAGCATCATCTTTCCTTCAGCCCACCAAAAGTAGCTTGAATTCTGCAAGAAATGTGATGTTCTCTGAGAAGGGTCACTGTCATCTCTCTGAAATGGTTTGGATTTCAGTGTGAGGATTACTTCAAGCCTTCACTGTTAAACATGACTGCCAAGAGACCTTCAGGGAATGCTTTTGACTGAAAATTACATGGTTATAGTTTCCTTATTAATTTGAAAAGACATTGGCAGCACACAATACAAAAACTGTATCAATTATATATTTCTATCTTTAGATTTAAAACTTAAGATAAAGAATATGATTATGGCTCTGGTTGGGTCAGATGTTTTTTCTGAAACTGGTAGTTCAGAACAGGCAGAGACAGTTTAAATATAAAATGTATTAATAGACAGATATTCTAAAATATATATTTTTGTATCACCATACATCGTTATAAACTACTACCGGGTATTAGCTGTGAAGTATGTGTATCTGCATACACAGAAAGCTGTATGTGAAGTTTTACCTCTTTTTTTTTTTTTAGAATACACTAAGCTTTGTTTTAAAGTAAGTTTATATTGTTCACTCCTTGCTAACTTCAGCCTTGATAGATGTGATTTTCCACCTTTAACATTTTGTAACATTTAAGATTTTTTTTCAACTCTGTGATGAAAGCTCAAAGAGAAAAATGTATTTATTGTTTCAAGTTACTCTTGGTTGAAAAGTATGAATAGTAGATAATAGCAAATTAAATATGTAAAATAAAGCTACATTATGTTTTTATTTAGGCATTTTTGCTTAAGGTGGGTTTTTTCCTCTTTAGAGGAAAGGAGATAATAGTGAAGAATCAGAGGAAGGGAAAAAATCTCCCAAAACTAAAAAGTTAAGTCCTTATGGGAAATGGCGAGAAGTTAAGTCAGAAGAAACTGTTGATAAAGAGAAGAGTACCTCAGCTTCCCAGGAAAGCTCTAGTGACGCACCTAACAAGACCAACCCTTATGGAAAATGGAAAGCAATCAAAGAAGAGGGAGAAGAAGAAGAAGAAGAAGAAGAACCATGGTGAGGCGCTTTTTTTTTTTTTTTTTTTTTTATTTTCATAATACTTCTTTCCAGAATACTTGTTTCCAAGAGCTGAAGCTTTTTCTTCTGAATTCTGGCAGAATTAGCATATCAGTGATTGGAAATGTAGCCCGAATACAATTCTTTCCGCATGATTATTTTAACTAAAAGCTCTCCCTGGCAGATAGTGGTGGTGTTTTGGTTTTAGTGTAGAAGTTCACCATGAGTACAAAATACAAAGTGAGTACAAAATACAAAAGTGATTTGGAGGATCATTGTCATTCATAATTTCTGTCAGAGGCAGAGTATCAACTATTTAAAGGTAGCTTATGTTCCTTAACATCGTCTCCTTCAACAGTCTGGTTCAGCTGCCTCAGGAGCTCTTGTGACTGTTTTTTTCAACTACTTCCAGCCTTGTAACAGCATAGGCAGTTTTCTCAGTGCCTCCAGCTTCCAGGCTAAATTCTGTTTCTTTCTGATGAGTAATTAGTTGGTCTAACTCTGCCTGAGTTCAAGATCTATCTTGATCTTCTAGGACCATCAGCAACCTTAACTTGGTCGTACTGGGTTAGCATTGCTTTGAATTCCTTCCCTGTGGGGTCAATAGTTGCTGACATAATGACTATGCTTTTTTAGACTCTGAGCAATTTCTACTTAAGCCTGGTATGTTTGGCTGAGTTACTTCCACAAGCAGTGAATTAATTCTCTCTTTGTGGTGTTGTACTAACTCTTTTAACTGTTCACTTGAAGGACACAACCTAAAAGACACTTCGAAATTTTTGTCTTACTTCCACCCAGTATTGCAGTAAAACATAACTGTTTATCTTGTTCCATAATTTCCCTCATGTTGAAACAAAGTTAAACAAAACCAAAACAAAATTCACTACAACATTTTCTGCTGTCACTATGGGTAAATCCTGGAGGCTCTTATAATGTGGTGGGAGACACTTTCTGTAATGATTTAACTAAGGAGATGAAAGACAAAACATGTGTAATCTAGTTATGCCAGTTTTAAATCTGGAAACTCACCTTCTCTCCCATGTCCAACCAATGTACTGCAGATGTTTTCATGACATGCGTCTGATCAAGAGGTTTGTTTTGGTTTGCCTAAGATGGCTCTTTTTTTTTTTTTTTGTGGAACATGCTGTCTTTTTTGGCCAGTTTCTTCTTGTGCAGCTGTCTACGAGTCTGGATAAATTAGGTTTCAGAGAATGAAAGCAGTATTTTCCCTCATATTCACCCCATTCTCCATCATTTCAGTTATAAATTATTCATCTTAGAGAGTTTTGGCACTGTTAAAACCATATTAAGTACTGATATACTTCCTTGGAGATGATAATGTTTATGTAACGCCTCCTGTATTGGACCAGCTAACCGCTCCTTGACTCCAGAACTGATAAATTCATTCAGGTTTTTGGAAAGCACTGTCCAATAAAAAGTGCTTTCAGCAACTGAACCTTATATATCAGTCTGTACATTAACACACAGCCTTGAGATATACACAGATGTAAATGAGACAAGTGCAGTTGTTCATTATTTACTTTAAATTGAGCCTGGGCACAGTGCCAGCTACTTTCAGCAGGTTTTCATTTTTGGGATACTGTAACAGTTGAGTTTTCTTGACTGGACTGACTTGCAGTCATTCTTGTGGCTCTTGTTTGGGTGCTTGAGCTGATCCACACCTTCTTGAAGCATAGGACCTGAAACTAGGAGTAGCACATGAGCTGACATCAGACTGACACTCAGTAGTACTGAAAGATTTCTTGTATGATTGGAGAGGAATGCAATGTGTATCTATTTGCAGCAGTGTTAGGCTGGTGTGATTCCTGATGGACTTGTGATTTAGATAATTTTCTGCTAACTGTTCAGCTGTTCTCCACTGTATGTTTGTGCCATGGGTTATTCTTGTAGAACACCGTGTTTTGCTGTTGAACCCTTAAAAAACGCTGGGTCATTTTTAGACGGTCTTTGATTTGTTCAGATCAGTATTAGCTGTGATCCTGTTCTCCAAAGCTGCTTCCCCCAGCTGGGGTCACTGGCTGCATTGGTAAGCCTGTTCTCTCTTCTGTCATGCAGACCCTCAGGTATGGACACGTGGAAAATTTACAGCATTTTGGCAGTGAACCATTGCTAATTACTCACTACTGTCTTTCAACATTCTTAAATTGACACACATGCGGCCCTGTTGTCTTTTTCTTCTTGATCCCTGTCATGATGATGATCTTGGCTAGAAGACTGCATTTAGCTCAAAGCTGCTTTGACAATTAAATACGGATGTTACTGTCTGCAGTACACCATGTTGGTTTTCTCCATGTAGATTAATCCTTTTATGTTTTCCTCCTCCTCCCAGTGAAAAAGTGGACCTGGAGCTTCCTAGTACAGAGAGTGACAATCTACCGCCTCCAGTGCTAGAGATTCCAGAAGATGCAACAGTGATATTTAAGGAGAAGACAGTCACCTCCCTTGGAGACCTGACAGAAGGGGTGCCAACATTTAAAAAGAGGAAATTTGAAAATGGAAAATCTAGAAACCTAAGACAAAGACTAAGTGATCAGTAATACTTAAAAATCATTTTAGATTCTGTTTAAGCTAGATTGAATCAAAAGTTTAATATTTTAAACAGGCTTTTATAAAGAAAATGTTGGATAGGAATTAAGGATTTATAGGTATTAAAACATACGTGAGTTGTAATATTTTTTTATTTTATTTTGATGTGATTGATTTTGGAATGGAAGTCTGTGTTATATTACTTATGCAATATTGTAAATACATTTATTTTTTATTTTAACCATGCAATCTAAGTTCAGTTTGCTCTGTGTGTGCTGTAACATTGCATAATGTTTTTTACTCCCTTTCTAAGTTTGGGAGAGTATCGTAATACTTAATCTGGCAAAAATAATGCAGACCTTTTATTTTTACGGAGGAACTGGATCAATGGCATGTACTAGAGACTAAAATCATCCCCCAAGATTGTTTATGTGGAGTAGTTTCCCAACTAATGAGTAAAAATATTGTGCTTACTAACCTTTGGCTAATTGCTTGGAAAAGAGTAGGTGGTGAGACTGCCAACATTTCAAACAGATCATTTGAAAGCTGTTTTTAGAGGAGTTAGTCACATCAGTGCCACTCATTCCAAATGACATTCTGAAAAATTATTTGTGTACATGCATGATAAATGTATTAAACCTCTGCAGAAGATTGAAACCTGATTATTCTTAACTTTTAATAACAGCACCAGAGCCACCCCTGTTGGAGTAGATATTTCCATGGTGTCTTTCTGTTGTATTTTGCTTTACTGCTGTCTCTACTTTAATTTTTCTGTCTTTTTACACAACAAATTTCCCTTTTTTGGTCCTGTTTTCTTTTTGTCTTTTTCCGTGTAAAAAAGCAATTGCCTGATATTTTAATGAAAAAATACTCCAAAGACCTGACCCTGCTACAGCATACAGCACCCTTTTTGAGGTTGATGGGTTTTGGCTGTTGATAAGAGGAGTGTATTGAATAGTTGTTGTGTTTGCTAAGCTGAGCAAAGCTAAGTGTATTGAAGCTTCATCTTCTCAGTATCATAGGAAAGAAAACCGATAGATGGATAAGTAGAGCTGATGGCTCTACTGTCCAAGATGGCTTGGATATTTTCTGAAGGATTGTAGATTTAATTTCTTCACTTGGTAGGATTGGTCTGCATTTAACATCATCAAGATTCATTGGCTGTGTAAGAATACAGCTATGCTCATTACTTCTCAAGGTATCAGACAGTGGACCATAAAGGTTCAAATCATGAATCCATTAAAAAATATGTCTCTGTTCCTAAAGCTCACAGTGTTTTGTTTGGGAGAGTATCAGTCAGAAACAGAGGGTGCAGTTAAGACAGTTGTCAGACTCCAACTACAGCAAAATAGAGTTGGTAACTGCTGATCTTGAGCTTCATTGAGAAAACAACTATTAATCTGTCAGATCAGCGGAGAATGGAGTGCAAAACAGGGAATTTGGTTTATCATGTATTAGAAAGGAAGCTGAAGTCCTTTTTTCTATTCTATGATACTTTCTCTGTGTGTGGAAGAGAATTAAGTATTGTATTTAATCCCATGTATTTCTTTGGCTTCATCAGGCAGGGTTGTTGTATTTCTTCCGATGTTTGTTTTGAGAAATGTGAAAGTTTCCCACCATAGCTAGCGAGCCCTGGATTGTCATTTAGAGATGCAGGATGCATGCTGGATGCTCTCAGTCATAGATGCAGGAATGTACAACGTACTCCACATGAAAGACCTCATAGGCAAGGCTAGAACAGAAATGTTGTTTCTGCCAAGGAGAGGTTGTTGGGTTTCTTAGAAAACAGATTTTTCAAGTTTTGTTCTTATTTGAACACTACTCCAGCAGCTAGGAGCCTGCTCTAACTTGAAGCCTCCATGTGTTTGTGATCAGTTTACATTAATTTCCTCTTAATTTACACAAGTTGCCCTTCAGCTCAGTGGCTTTTCTTCCTCTTGAATCCATTGCATCTTTTCTCTTGGGAATCGCATAGAGCATCCTTGTGTGACAGGACTTTCAGTGCTCCACCAGCACTTCTCTTCATCCATTCCAGCCTGAGTTTGCCTAGATAGTATGTTGAAGGAAGATTAAGGCCACGCATGATGCCACTAGTAGTTCCTTAACATACTGGAAGTAACTCTTGATACATCCCTAAACCACATTTGCCTTTCACATGACTGCATCACGCTGTCTGCCATGGGTGCCCTGTGATTGACCAGTACAACTAGCTCCTTCTACTCCTGTGCCATTGGCCACTGCTGAGTTGAACAGCTGATCATGCTTTGATTTCAAGTAAAATTTTTTCTTCTTAAAAATTTGTTTTGTACTGCTGTACTCATCCTGCTTCTGTTACTCCAAGCCTAAAGTATAAAAATTTCTTTATGATCTCTGTAAAATGATTTTATGGTTTGTTAGTACAGTTTTATACAGTAGTATAGTTTTTTTGTAGGCTCCACTTTTAATATCCTCTGAGGATGATATCTTTCCTCTTTTAGTGAGGTTCCCAAAATATTAGCATCTTTCCTTAAAAATGTTTTGTCACATTGAAGTGGACATAGGCAGTGATTTAAGATACCTGTAACTAAATTGCTCAAGCAGATGTTTAAAAACTTCTGAAAATAAGTGTTCAAAACTTGTTTCCCTGAGGAGCTGCTGTTAGTTGTAATACGAACCAAAGCTTTTCATCACGTACTGTGTTAAATAGACAAACCAAAACATTATGACAAAAGATGAAATGTTTTCTTTGTTCACTGCTAGTAAAATTGGTGTAACTACCATACACTTGCTTTTGCTGATGTGACTTCCAAAGCCTGCATTTCACAAAGAAATACAGCTCTTCGCTCCCCACTCTGAAAGTGAGTTTGAGGAGAGACCAGTCTTTGTCCTTAAGTGTAAATTATAGTAAGGGCCGGTTGAGTCAGATTTGATATATCCAAAGCCACTGTTTAATTTTGCACTGTGCTGTCATTCAATTTCCTTATTGTGTATCTAAACCAAATATTTCCTCTTCTGTACAAAAACACTGTCTTATGTGAGATTTAAGGCAGATGCTGCTTTTCCAGGACATCTGTTCTGCACAGATCTCTCTCCCTTCTGTGCTATCTCCCTGCAGAATCTTCTGCCTTTGGAATTTGCCATAGGAATCCTCTAGGTATTACCACAGTTATGCTCCTCATCTGCTAATCTTTCCTTGGGCTGCACTGGCTTTTGACAAAGGAATGTTCCTTTTCTGTTTCAGAGGAACAGTGTTTTCAGAAGAGTGTTGTTTTCTGACTAATTCGTTTTCTGTCATGCAGTGTATTTTTTTTATCTGCTTGCCTGCTTTTAATTGCAAGTTCCTTGAGGGAGGACTGTACCCCTGGCTTTATAGGCCATTGTAGACATTATTAGCAATATGAGAAGGAGAGTCGGAGACAAAGTGGGAGTCATTGCAATTTCTGATGGGGTTTTGAGCAAGTTGGTTCCCTGCTCTGTACTTTTCTTTCCTTGCCTCATCTTTCACCTGTCTTGTCTGTTTAGAAAGACAGCTTTGCAGTACAGGATGCTTATCTTTGGGGTTTGTGTTTTTACAGTAGGACCTGCCTGAAGTTAGTGATGCTTTTAGAGGCAAACATATTGCATATACTAAAAAAGAAAATTATTTTGTTGGGCATTTTTTATGCCAGAGGCTGTGCAGAGATGTGCTCAATTTGACCCAGGTTATAGAATAAGTCCTGTTCCTATTTAGGCTAAGTCAAAGTTTAACCCTTCACCCAGGAATTTATAGATTGAAATCCAGACTTTCCCAGCAAGGGTAAGGTTTGCTTTTTTGTTTGACTCTTGTAGACAAGATCTGTGCTGCAGCATCATCTGATACCAATATTCAGATTTATAAGGGGGGACAGCTGGTCATGGAATGGATCTAAGTTAAATTCACTAATCTGTGCATGTATAAAAACATTTATCTTTTTTCCCCCTGAAAAGGATGTTATGTCAGTGCAAACTTTGGCATCTCAGAAAGGGAGTAAAAAACTTATTTCATGCTGCTTGGTTTCCTTGATTTGCTTTTTGAGTTGTGCCTCCCCTTTCTAGTACAGTACTTTTCTTATTATTGCTGTCTTCCTCAAACTGTCTTATTCCAGTATTCCTATATATGCAAATCTACCTATCACCGCTGTGCCGCATTTCTAGCATCCACCTTCACCTTATCCCCTGTTCTACTGAGATCTTCAGAAAGCTTCACGTTGTCTTATGTAGGCCACAGTGTCTCCAGATCGCAGCTTATGCCCTGAAGAAGTACAACCTTACCTATTTTCAGACAACAGGCAAGCTATTTCAAGACTGACTACATGGGCTCTTTTGATTTCCTTGATAATTTGTTTTCCTGAGACAGATTTCATTCCATTCCTCCTACAGGGTTTGAAGCCCTTATATCTTTTCACTTGTTGGCACAAAAGCTGTGTGTATACCTTCTGCTGTGGCAATCCTTTGGTTCTGTTTTGTCAGCCATCTCTTCAGTCTCTTGTATCTACCTCTTAAGTCCTCTTACCTTCTACCTGCTAAATTATTTAACTTAGAAATCATGTAAGCCATTTGTGTGATTAACAGATTTAGCTTTGTGAAATGTGTTGGGATATAGCTTGAATAAGAGTTGCTGCACAAACCAGAAGTGTTGCACATAATAATCTGAAAAATGCTGAATTTGCCAAGATGATTCCCAGAGAGTGTCAGCAAATGCAGGTTTGATTTTTACCTGTAAAAGTAGAAATAGCCTATGTTAAAAAACATATGACAGCATTATAGAAACACCACGGGCTGAAGACAGTGGATTTCAATGGCTTGCTTAACTGCAGATACAGTGAGGAAAGTGGGCTGATTGAAAAGTGCTTGTTTTAAGTTTGTAAGTATTGTCTGCAAGGTTAAACAGCTGGTTTCTCTTTAACAGCTTCTCAGTTGCAATCACAAAATATTGCAAGCTCTTGAAGTGGAGTTCATATGAAAATACCAAATAAAGCTTTCATTTGAACAATCTGTATTGCTATTGTTCATCTATTCAAGGGTTTTAGGATAACCCGAGAGATTTGTGGGTGCATATGCTGTTAAAAATGGGACCTGGGGTAAATATAAACCAGAATAGCTATGTAAATATGGAAATGCTTCTTAAAATAAGTACTTTTATTTTGTGGTCACCGACGTAGTGTCTGGGTGCCTTCCAGTAGCACATTAAGTGGTTACTGGAAATTGTTTTATTCTGTGCATCAGTTATGAGTAACACATGACTTGGGTTAAAATTGTGAATTTAAAAATTCTTAACAGAGTTCAGGTAAGGTTTGTTGTAGTTACTATTTAATAACCTGCAGAATACACCTGAATTAAACTTTCTGATGCTAACAGATTGTGATTTAGCAGTCTTCATAGTTGCTGGTGCTAAGAACAACGAGCGGTGCCCTTATACACACTTTTAAAAGGTGGGGAATGCATGTAAATTATTTTGTAACATTTACTGAAAAAAAATCTTTCTGTCAACATGATCTTTTGGCAGTTCTTTTATAGAAAGTGAAAAAATTATTCAGCTGTACTAAGCAGCTAGAAAAAAATAAGGTATGATGCAGGCAAACAGTTCTGCGAGACTATGAAACATTAATACCTTTTGTTGCTAACAGCATTTGGTTGTTTCTTCCTTTTAGCTAAACTAGAACAAGCAACTTGCTACTTCAAGTGAATAAATTCATTTGTAGTTCCAGGATTTCTGAGGCATTCCCTTAGACATCCTGTTGATGATTAAATGAAGGTAATCAGGGTAAGGTACCAGGGCTGTTCTGCCTCCATCTTTTCCCTGGCATAAAAAAGGCTACTTCCAGGCGCAGCTTTACTCTGGCCTCCTTCTTTGCTGGGCGAGGCGCTACAGCTTGAGACCCCAGCAGGGAAATGAAGATTGCTGGGAACTGTGTCTCGTGTCAGTCACCAGGCGCTGGAGAGAGATGAAGTCGGTGCCTTGCACTGGCTGCAACGCCCGCGCGTGAGGTCTCCGCTACACACATGGATGATCTTGAGGGGAAGCCAGGCGGGCCGGCGGAATTTTGTTCTGGTTGTTGTAACACTATTTGACATCAAAATGCAAAGCGGCAGGAGAAGGCTGTTTCTGTAAAATCAACCTGCCCTTGCTTTGCTCTCCCACGACCAGTCACTGACTTCCAAGGAGCTGCTTCCCCTTTCCTTCTCCTCCCTGTGCTTATCATAATTTTTCCTGCTAGTGATTTCACTGCAGAAAGTCTTGGCTGCTTGTAGGAACTGAAAAGCCCAAGTTCAAAGTATTCCATCCTGAAAATGCCCCAGAGGTGGCATTGTTACACCTCACATCCCTTCCTTGAGGACATGTGCCAGCCCACAGCCAAACCCCATCACACTCTCTCAGCTCTTTCATCCCAGAGAAAGACCGGGGTGGAAGAACTTAGAATAAAATATGGCTTCAAATAATATTTTGTAAGTTAGGCAAAACCAGCTTCAAATAATGCTTTCTCACAGAGGAGAAGCCAATATATCTGGTAAAGCAGAGCGTTACAGTCAGTGACCTCCTGTAGAAGTGGGTCTGCTCTATCAAATCCTCTGTCATACCTGAGCATAGCCATGCTTTACGGTCATATACAGGTAGGAGTGACTGCAGGATAAACTTAATAAGACAAAGGTCCTTCATCAGAATGCACCGGACCAGGCTGGGAGAAGGGATTTAGCTCCCAAATTTCAATGCCTACACTGGGGACATCCAAAATTTAGTAGTAAAGGGGAGCTGCTTTCTGCTTTCCCCTTTCTCATCACTGCACAAAAGCAACAACAAAGAAGGGCTACAGAAAATTAATTAACTTAATTGCAAATATCCCTAAGGTCCTGCCATCAAAACATGACCATCTTTCTTCCAGTAAAATAAACTGGGCTCGTTTTTTAAAAGTGTTTCAATAGTTTTTCATAGTAAAGAACTTTATGGGCATTAACTAATCCTAGAAGTAGAATCTGATTATTTAAAATGTATACTTTTAAGCAGTGTCTACAATTGTTCAAGATATATATCACATAAAATAAATTGGTTTGCATCATGAAAGTGAGCATGGTATTTGATAAGCACGTTAATTGGATACTCTCCTGTTACAGCTGATCGTACTAGTTATTGCCAGTCTGTCTGCACTGTGTACATGCAAGCTGAGTCACATATCTTCCTGGAGGTTTTTTTTCTTAACTGCTTACTGCAGTAAGTCAAAGTTCAAGTGTGCAAATGGCTCTTAAATTCCATGGTAGTATGTTTCCTGATTGACTTATAGAGCTATAAATTAAAAACAAAACAAAAAAAAGCTTTTTTAATTAGGAAACAAATCAAAACTTATCAAAGTTTGCTGATAAGAATGTGCAAACACACAAAAGAATTGAAAAATAATTCTTGAATTGTGAAACTGAGTATAGTTTTCCAGCTTTTTTCCTGGCACAAATTCTGTCTTAATATAGCTGAATAAAGTTAAAACCATTGTTTGTTATATATATATAGTAGTAAAACCTATACCATTTACAAGAACTCAGTATTGAAAATTGTTTTTTCTTAAAATAACAGACATTTTCTCAGTCCTGTATCATTCATGATTAGAAAATAAATGTGCAAATACAAATCAACCACAAGGCCTAGTTTAAGTCATCACAATTAACTGATTCTTCACACGTAAAAGATTGTGCAAAGAAGCTTTATAGCATACCCTGGGAAGAGAAGGAAAGATAACACCTCGATACAGCAAGTCAACCCAGTTCAGCAGAGCAGTTGCATGTTTTTCTGTAACATTTAACATGTGAATATTCCTGAACCACCGTGTACGACTACTACACACGTGTGCCTGCCAGCGTACTGTGCAACGCGCTTTAAGGTGAAAACACGAACCCAAGTCCTATTACAGCCAAGCGTGCTTTATAGATATTTGGATCGCCCTCAGGGACAGGCACACATTGCCAAAGGCATCAAGACAGAAACTGAATTCCAGAGCTACCTGATTTGCTAAAATGCATCTACACTATGAACTCGTTTTCTCTGCCAAGAAGCAGGAAGCTGCCTGTTACCACTGATGAACTCCTTCCAGAATCTCATCAACTTACTTTGAAACTAGAACATGCACTTTTACACAGAACCGCAGCATGTGGTCCAGACCCACCCTAAACTGACCCAAGAATGGCTGGAGGAAAACTGACAGGCTTCTCTCCTAAGATTCTGGCCCCTTGCCCAAGATCACTCCCTTTGCTTTATTTTGCTTATATTCACTCTAAAAAATAAAGCACCATAATACAGAATGACTTTTAAGGGTCTGCCTTCAGGAAGCTCTCTCAATCAATGGATAAAACCAAGTAGTAATCATAAGGCCAGATTCTAGATTATGTTTGGGAAGCTCTGGTTCTTTCACCTGGAGAGGAACATCTCCCACCCCCAAAACAAAAAGTACACTATGTAGTATTTCTTAGGCTCTATCACCACGATTTTGTATCTTCCCAGCTGCAATGTGGTCAAAAAATGACCAGCTCAATAAAGCCACGTTGCCGAGACAGGAGATATGTGCACACAGCACTCCATGCTTGTTCTTTTCTGCTGGGGCTGCTGTAATAGATTCAATTTGCACCAAAATATAAATAAGAGTAGTATTACACACTGAAAATCAGGCATAGATTTTAATCAATCTATCATCTAACAAATACATCCATTTTATCTTGCTACTGAACACAACATTTCTGCTTTAACTCTACAGAAGGTCTTCAGTAGCCTGCAAGTTTTCTAGATATTCGGTGACAGCCTCTATCTCTGCATACTCCATTAGTCTGTTGATTAGTTTATCCAATGCTTCTTTCCCACTTAGAATTGCCTATGAAAAAAATAAAACCAGACAAAAGCATTACTGACTGTACATCCGCATTATTGGAAAGTGCTGACTACTCCAAGGAGGAGCTGCTGGAATGCACTTTGCCTGGAGTTTTAGCTTGGTGCAACCACTTGCTGATCTTTGCGGCTCCCCCACGTGAAAGCCACACGGCGTGGCAGTGTGCAGCAGCACTTCAGCTGGCTGCCTGTGAAAAGCACATTGATTCTGGCAGCAACAAAAGGAGCTACTGGTGCCTTCCTGCCATACTTTCATGTTACAACCCATGCATTCACATGAAAATCCCCTCACAAGAACAATCAAGTACTTAAGAACCTAATTCAACTACTGTTGTTCATGTCAAGAACTAGTTTGTTTTGCAAGCAAAGTTCAACTAACTTTTGTTAGGCAGTTTACCGTTTCAGTTTTACTCAAGAAAAGTAATGAGTTCCCAACGCTAAGTAACAGAAAATCTCGACTAACAAAAGTCAGTTTTATGCAATCGTGGAACCTCTTCGCACTCTGCACTCTCTTCCTCCACGGGATTTGTGTACCTGTTCCCCACTCTGTTAAGTATGAACTGCTCCATATTCAGCATGCCCTGTGCTCTCTGATGTTACCCAGGACACCTGTGGGTACGTTTTGAAAAGTGTTGCTCCTTATGCAACAGCACTTAGAGTAAACTGAATATACCTAATCCAAAATATTGAAGGGCCACCCTAAACTTTGTCCTAAAACTTGAAACATTTTCATAAATTTAATATACAAAAAAGCATGTGTAGAGAAGTAAGACTTCGTGTAATCTTAAAATGAAAGCATTCAGTTTCAGTTTCTTTTAACTGTGGCCTGCAAGGCAAACATAGAAGAAAAGTTTTCATCTTTTTCACTCTGACATTAGGAGAAGGCAAGAACGGCTTAACAAAACAAAAACTTACTTCATGTCAGGTTTTTCTTTTGGATGTACTCAAAGAATCTCAAATGTCACTTGCACAGTTTGACTGAGGGACTCATGGAATTCACTGACTACATGCTTGATCGTTTTTCACTCATATAGCAGGAGAAAAATGCACAGAGAAGTAGGCCAGCAAGTTATACCCTGTGCCAATCATCTTAACAATAAGGCAGGAAAGAAAGTTTAAGCTTTCTAAATCTACAATGTTCTGTCAGAGCACAACTAGCTATCTAATTTCATATAAATTGTTTTCACTAAGTTATTTTTTTCTTCTTTTGGTACACATAAGTTTCTAACTTTAAACACTCTCATGAACAACCGTTACCTTGATATCGCGTGCATCATATGAGATCCTGTGGTCAGTGACTCTGTCCTGGGTGAAGTTATAAGTACGAATTCTCTCTGACTGGGCTCTTGTTCCCAACTGTAATGAAGCAGCAAACCCCCAAATCTATTACATAATGGTTTTTTAAAAAATAAATACTATTCTAAAACAGTATACCTAAAATAAACCTGAATGGATCAGTCTGTTCCAGCTACAAACCCAGTTATCACTGGCTTAGCTGCTTTTTTTTTTTTTTTTTTTTTTTTTTTTATTTGTGATTCCGTATCATAGACCAAGTTTTTACATCCTCTAGTACATTTCTGTTCCAGGTCTGTAGCTGGAAGAATTATGTAACTCTCAGAAGTCACATAATGCAAGAGGTATGTCCATATGAGTCCTTAGTTCAAAACCATAAGAGAGTTTTTCTTTTTTGGGGGGTTGTGGCTCCCACAGAAAATAATGAAAGTGGGCTCTGTTAAAGCGGGTTCTGTTAACAACAGAAACAGCACAGTCAAACGTGTGGCAAAGAGATCCACTAACGTTTGGCTGTCAGAAATTAACACTGAAAGAGGAGTAAATTAAGAATACGAATAGTCGTCCTCTAGTGGTAAAGTGCAAGAATGCAAGCAATTCTAAAAGTTTTAAACCAGAAATCCAAATGTAGCATTGTTGTGTGGTTAAACGCTTTATTAAAATGGAAAATTAAATGCTAAAAACTGCTTAAAGAAATGGTGAGGTCTTTTTCAATGGGCCTTTTTGAAAATTTCATCTGCAGCCTATGTGTATTTGAAAACAAGGAATTTATTGAATAAATTCTGAAACATTAGGAAAGGTAATTTACTTTTGCCTGATTTTCTGTAGTATTTATATAAATGTACATCTGAATCCTTTATGCAGTTTTGAAGGCTCTCCAGCTAACATTAATAACAAAAGAGAAAGGGCTCACTCCTTAAAATGACTGGGTTAATAATCTGCAGGAACCTAAATGCAACCTGAAATTAGGGATTAAATAGCTAAAATGGAAACTTTGGAGTACTGAACAATTCCATAATTCTGAAATATTTTTATTCCTGTTCATCACTGTTGAAGTTTGCACCACAAATGGGAAAATACTCAAAGAATGGGAAAAGAATGATAGCACGTTTCAAGAGAAAAGCACATTTTGCAGCATAACTTTAAATAACTCTTTTATGGAAGCTCGCTCTTCCTGGCTTTCTTGCTAGCTGAACAGGAGCCAGCAGTGTGCCCAGGTGGCCAAGAAGGCCAATGGCATCCTGGCTTGTGTCAGCAATAGCGTGGCCAGCAGGGACAGGGAAGGGATCTGACCCCTGTACTCGGCACTGGTGAGGCCGCCCCTCGATTCCTGTGTTCAGTTTTGGGCCCCTCACTACAAAAAGGACATTGAATGACTCGAGCGTGTCCAGAGAAGGGCAACGGAGCTGGTGCAGGGTCTGGAGCACAGGTCGTACGGGGAGCGGCTGAGGGAGCTGGGGGTGTTTAGTCTGGAGAAGAGGAGGCTGAGGGGAGACCTCATCGCCCTCTGCAGCTACCTGAAAGGAGGTTGCAGAGAGCTGGGGATGAGCCTCTTTAACCAAGTAGTAAGCGACAGGACAAGAGGGAATGGCCTCGAGTTGCACCAGGGAAGGTTTAGACTACATATCAGGAAGCATTTCTTTCCAGAAGGGGTTGTTAGGAATTGGAATGGGCTGCCCAGGGAGGTGGTGGAGTCCCCATCCCTGGAGGTGTTTAAAAGTCATCTTGACATAGCGCTGAGGGATACGGTGTAGTTGGGAACTCTCAATGTTAGGTTAGTGGTTGGACTGGATGATCTTCAAGGTCTTTTCCAACCTAGATGATTCTGTGATTCTTTAAAAGGTTACCAAAACCATACCAAATGAACTGCTACCTAACTGTGTAGTGGCAAGATTATTTATATACTTGTTTCTTTCAAAAGCTTTCTATGGTCTTATCAAATAGTCTGGTTTAGAAACAGGTTAAAATACAACTTTGAGAACTTTTGGTCCTAGTTTTCATGGAAAAAAACTTTTTACTGATGCTCTATTTTTGTAACTCTGGCCTTAATAGGAGGATTCGATATATGATGTTGAGTGTTGCCTTTTGGATAATTCTACTTAGTCTTTTGACTTTTTTTTCCAGCTATAGTTGATGTCTCTTTTTCATTGCCTGAGAAGTCTACAATAGCGTTGAACTGGGATAAGGAAACTCAGACTTGCCATTTTAAAATACAAGATTCTCTTTCGTAAGCACACATGGTTAGACACACACAATCACTTGCTCTATCATCATCACTCAAAATGATCAGAAACAAGTCTACACTATAGAACCTTCTTCAAATTTCAGGAATTGCATGTTCTCACCTGCAGTTTTCTGGCACTCTGCTCTTGACTTAGTTGTTTTTCAATGATCTGCTGGTACAGCTTAGCTCTCAGTGTCTGCAGAGCTATTTCCTTGTTTATCTGCTGTGATCGCTCCTGCTGGCACTCAACTGTCAGTCCTTTACAGAGGGATTCAAGAGAGCTCAGATCAAAAGACCATTATAACAAAAAGGAAACAAGATAAATTAATTCTAACACATTAGGCAAATGAAATGTCCTAGAGTGCTGGTTTGTGGGGTCTTTCAGCTGTAGGAAAAAAGTAATTTTAACACACTGTCTGGAACCACTAGTATGTTTTTAAACTCTTTGCAGCTGCACCAGGGGCCTTCTACAGTGCTACAGAAAAGCCAGGATATTTTAAAATTTCATGAAGTAAACAAGTTCCTGATGTTGCCCCCAGAAAAAAGGCTCACTCCCATTAGCTATCACATGTTAAAAATGTAATTTTCACAGTCTACAGAAACATGTTTAAAACAATAAGTTTTTTAAGTCTTAGTCTATATAAACTCTTGGAGAGTGGAAAATTCATTATTCTAGCAGAGAAGGGTGTCTAAACAACACTGGTGAGTCTTGAACTTAATTATGAATAATGAAGTAAAGTAAAATAAGGGTCTTCAAAAGAAACTTTTGCTTCTCATTTGATTTCTGAAATAAAAAGGCATATAGAAAACAGCTGTTTTCAGGTCACTGCTGGAATTTCTTGTGCCTAAAGAGATTCTGCACCTGAACAGATAGAAACCCACTGACTTTCAATAAAAACACACCCTGAGAAAGACAAGAGTGGTCTAGTTTATACACTACCTCTCCATCAGTACACATTTTCCTTCCTATTTAACATACAATAGCATTATCAAGTACTGAATGAAAATCTTCAAGCCTCCTTTTTTTCTCAGTCACATAACTACACAGGTTCCAGCTAACAGCCATTATAGTGATGGTACAGAGCACACAGCACAAATTATGTACATCTTCCATCCCATCCCTGTCACCTTCTGTTTTTATCCTTCAAAGACAGTGTATTCATTAAACACTCCCTCTGAAGACAACACTGGCATAACAGCAGCTTGCTGACCACTGTGCCACTGGTACATATCCCTTTTCTCACACGTTGCTTTGCTAGAAGAGGGGCAGAACCAGAAGGGGCTAACTTCTTTTTTTTTTGGTATAAGGCCCAACCCTGCAGACTTACTCTAAGAGACAACTTACAGGATCACAAGCTTTCTCTTCAGGATACAGATTTAGGGTGATTAGAAGTAGGAAATACAGCTACACTTACCTGTGGGAAGGTGTACAAGTCTCACGGCGCTATCAGTTTTGTTAACATGTTGCCCTCCTGATCCTTTAGCCCTGAATGTATCTATACGCAAATCTTTGGGATCCACTTTAACGTCAACCTAGAATCAAAGAAAATGACTACTTGCTGCTTATTCTAAAAATATTTTAATGTCAGTGATACTCTGTGTAAAAAAAACCCCACTTCTCAAAAATTGCTCCTTTACATCTGTTCCTAACAGCTATTATTATTATACTTCCATAAAATGCAGTGTTAGATATCTCTGCAAAGGAAGTGATGCTTTAAATATTTCACTTATTTTTTTCAAACTCCCACTCCAGGTCCTTCACAAAACAAGGTATAGGTGCGTGTGGAACAAAAAACCAAATCAACAACTGTTTGTAAAACCACTAGCTTTGGCAGGAAGACTAAGAAATAAGCAAATAATCAAAAATTACTTAAAAACAGCAGTTCAAGGATCTTGTTCATGAGTCAAGCTTGAATGATTCCTGCAACAGTGCTTAAATACATCTAACCGAGGAAAAAATGGGTGTATGCAGATCCAAGTAAGGATTGCAGCATTGGAAATATGAGTCCATGATGACCTGGACTACAGTTTGTGCTCAGTGGATGTGAAAGGAACATTCAGATCTGATCAGTGTTGCAAGGAAAGCATTACAAGGAAGCAGAAAAATGTGCAGGGAAAGCCTACAGGATCCATTTTTGTTTATTTTGTGTGTACATTGCTGGTTTAAGTGAGAACTGTTGCTATCAGTGAGATCTCAGAAAGACTAGCCAACACACTCATTCAAATTCATAGCCGTCTGTCCTTGATTTAACAGAGAAGGACACCAATAATTTAAATGAAACTAAAAAAATTAAAAGGACCTGCAGAATCACATTACTATGCAACACTGAGTATCTTCTTGGATATATTCCCTGTCTTAATACATGATGTATTTTTAAATTGGCTTACTGTCCTGGTTTCAGCTGGGTTTGAGTTAATTTCTTCCCAGTAGCTGGTACAGTGCTAGATTTTAGATTTAGTGTGAGAATAATGTTGGTAACACACTGATGTTTTAGTTGTTGCTAAGTTGCACTTATCCTAAGTTGAGGATTTTTCTGTTTCCCATGCTCTGCCAGCAAGCAGGTGTGTAAGAGGCTGGGAGGGGACACAGCCAGCACAGCTGATGGGAACTAGCCAAAGGGATATTCTATACCACAGAATGTCATGCCCAGTATATAAACTGCGGGGAGCTGGCAGGGAGGGGTGCATTGCTGCCCAGGTATCAGTCAGCAGATGGTCAGCAATTGCATTTGGCATCACTTCTCTTCTTGGGTTTTATTTCTCTCACTTTTTGCTATATTCCTTTTCACTACTACTACTACTACTACTATTATTAATAATAATTAATATTTTACTTTATTTTAGGTATTAAAATGTTTTTATCTCAACCCATGAGTTCTACTTTTCTCCTGATTCTCCTCCTCATCCCACTGGGAGGAGGAAGAAGTGACCGAGGGGCTGCATGGTGCTTAGCTGCTGGCCGGGGTTAAACCACGACACTTAGAGCAGTCAGCTTTGTGAGTGCTGGGGCTGGAATACTCATTGAAATGATCATGGATTTATGTGCCATTTCAGGCAATAGCAAATCTCTGCAAAGTTGCTTCTGGTGACCCATTTAAACATGTAAGGTACAGAGCCAAGGACTACCGCCTTCCACAATCAGAGAACTTGTGGTTCACTTGCTGGGACTCGCACAAAGTGCCTGGGTATCAATAAAATCCCCAAACAGTAACAGTAACATGGTTTTAAATAACACCTACTCCAATGCCAGAATGGGTGAGCGGGGATACACACTGCCTTACCACCCTGATTAGCAGCTAGTTTACCTCCTCTGGCTGAGGGAGGACGATAACTGACGTTGTCCCAGTGTGAATACGCTGCATTCTTGATGATAGGCCTGTCTCAGGGATTCGCTGGACTCGATGAGTCCCTCCTTCATATTTCAGATGCCTGTAGACATCATCTCCTGAAATATGAGCAGTGGCATGATGCAACCCACCTAGAGAGACAAATAATATGTGACAAGTATAGCACAGAAACATTGCTTTTAATTTTACTGTCTTGGTGTAATATCTGAAGAACTACTGTACCTATCTCAGCTGGCATATAGTTCACAATGTCAAAAGTCCAACGTTTATAGTCTGCATAGTTCTGGTACATCTCAAACATTTCTTTAGCGAACTGTTGGCAGATGTCTCCTAAAAATATAAAGGCACTACAACTTAAATAGCAGCTCACAAAATGGTAGCCATTGGTTTTTAGATTTAGCTGCAACTCTAAGCACAGTCATTAGACAGATTAATACTCTTCTTTAGAAAGTACTACTTTATACCATTAAAGTATAAAAAGGCATTAAGAATACCCATAACAGGTTTAATGAAGTTAGATGGAGGTTGAAGTAATCTTTGCTGTGGAGACTTTGCTGACCTCCAGTTGTTCTGCCAGCTGTCACTTCTAATATGACATGACTTCTATCATATTTTTCCTTTGGCACTAGAAGCTGGCAAAGCTGAAAAGAAAAACAAAAAAAAAAGAATGTCATTATCTCCTTCATGACTCTTATCTTGTCTTAATTAAATTTACAACCAGCCTTCAGAATTGTCACAGCTTGAGTGCACACAACCACTGATCTTTTGGAAAACTAGTAAGTAGGACTAAAAAAAGAAAACATAGTAAGTAGGACTGTCCAATGGCCATTGCAACTCAGTGTAGTCAATGTGGAAATGGGATATGCTGGTGAATCCACAGGAATAGCTGAAAATTCAACCTGGCAAAGTCAGGTGTCGGGTCACCCACACCAGCCCAGCTACTTATGAACACAAAGTTATTATCTATAACCCAGCCAATCTTTACATCAATCTACTTTTTCAGAGAGTCCCATTTCATATTATTTCAATCTGAACATAGAAATGAGCCTAAATGTAGAGCTCGTTTCAGCTTCTCTGCTTATAATTAAACTCCCCACATATGGGGTGCTGTCAGCTGAAGAAAGACTGCAAGTTCCACAATGTCTTTCAAGAATGCATGCTCTGCTGCCACAGTTACTAGGATGTCACGTCAAGTCTCAATATCACAGATTTACAATTTTTTTAATCCCCTTCAGCATCTGCAGACAGACAAGCAAGCAAGCAAAAATGACTAAAACAATAAGCTTCTAAGAAACAGTTGTTAATAAGAAGCTTACTAGTAATTAATGTTGCCACTTCTTTTCAGGGAGAATACAGAAGCTGGACTTCTGTTTCATTAAACACAAGCATCACATTCTATTGGTAAGATCACAAAGGAACATTTGTCTGACATCTTTATTTACAAAGCTATATAATTTTACCTCAGGCTCACCTTTCTGTACAACATGTTGATTTTTTTATCCAGGGTTTCCTTCTCTTCTAAGGCAAGCTCTAGAAGTTGTTTCTCATCTCTGCTATCTAGCTCTAAATTCCAACAACAGGAATAAATGTTAGCCAATCTTACCTAGCTCAGAGCAAACTGTAATACAGCTGTCCAAAGCATGCATCGCAGCACATAAAAGCTTGCAATTGCACTTTGCCAGCATGAAATAACAAATAAAAGCAGCCCAAGCAAGGATGCATATTGCTAACTAAATGATCATATTTTTCAGGTGTGCTGGAAGGAGTGGTGGATATCTTACTTTTCCATCTACCTTATGGCTCAAAGTCTGCATCAAATAGATGCCAGTTCCACCTGACAGTTAATCATTCTTAGTTATACCAATGGTTACTGACAGTCCAGGGGTAAATCCACAACTGGATTTAACAAAATATGTCCAAAACATGCCTGGGAGACCTCACTTGGACTCTTTGCATTGCTGAAGGAGATTCCCTTCCCCTCTCTACAATCTGGAGTAGCGTGTCCAGTTTTGAGCTTCCCAGTACAAGAAAGACATAGAAATACTGGAGTGAGTCTAGTTGAGAACCATCAGGATGGTCAAGGGCTGGAGCAAAGAATGTATGAGAAGAGGCTGAGAGAACTCTGTTTGTGCAACCTTAAGAAAAGCAGGGGTAGGGGAGGACATCAAAAGGATGGAGACAGACTCTGTATATCATGATAAAAGGAGACATAAACTGGAAAACAGAAAATTCTGGTTAGATATTAGGAATCTACTATTTTTACCTAGAGGCTGGTCGGACACTGGAACAGGGGCTCAGAGAGGTTGTAGGATCTTTATCCTTGGATATATTCCAAACTCAACTGGACAAGGCCTTGGCAACCTGCTCTAATTGGTCCTGATTTGAGCAGGACACCAGACCAAATGATCTTCAGAGGTCCTCTTCAAACTAAATTATTCAATGATTCTGTGAGTAGATTGCCCCATCCCACATTTTAGAGCTTACTACCATACTAGGAAATATTCTCAGGTAAAACTAGCAGAAACTTCAAGCCTTTTCTCCTATGGAGGCTCCAGTTTACAATAATTAAAGATGCTGATCAGTTATCATTAGATTATACACTAAGTAGAAACTCAGAAGACAGTTGGAGTGAAGTGGAAAATCCGCTACTGCCAGAACAGGGAGTACCCTCTCCTTTTTATCTTTCTTCCCACTGTTCTACCAGCTGAGGAGTGGCTCTGTCAGTCATCTCATCAGAAAGTAAATCAATTCAACATATCAAAAGAAAAAAAATAGGTCTGGTTAAATAAATGCATCTATTTTACCATGCCAAATTGAACTAGATTTAATTTACAACCAGGCAATTACCAGCACAACTGGAGGAATGGGGGAAAACAGTTTTGAACACCTGGGAGCGAGAGCAATGGAAGAAAGCAACAAAGAGGAGGAGAAAGACTCATGCCTTGTGGCCAGCATGGAAACCACAGGTTTGTCTCAGATGCACCTTAAAACCATAAGACACTCAATAGTGGAATGCATCTCCTCGCCTTGCACGACCAGTCGCCTGAGCTTCGGATTCTGTGGCAGGAATCAGGTATCTCAGAGGCAGACGCAAGGACTGCAGGCTCCACATCTCTGGGCATCTGGAGCCTGGTTCCCGTTCACAGCAGCTAACATGCGCTCACATTTACTGGTGGCCTTAGCAGTGAGTCTGAAGAACTAATTGGGCTGGGATGTTGAATCAGCTTCATATACTGGGCAAGGACAGCAGCAGCTCCTCCATATCATAGTTTTTAATTTATGCTCTGGTTATTTGTAAGTAATAAAATTAAATAAATAAAATATGTCAGATCAACATTGGAACCTGGCATCCTGTGTACCTAAGGCAAAAACTGTATACATTTCCCTACCAGTATGTCACAACTCCAGCCTAAAGCTGGTACTGAATCAAAGGCTTCTAGCTGGTCCTAAAAGCATAATTACTGATTAGTTAAACAGTATCAAATTAACTACTTTCAGCAGAGACGAAAGAATGGTCTGGTGGTAACCAATGAGCTTAAGGTTCAAAGGACTGGTGTCCCATTCCTACCTCCCTGCAAATCTGACCTTTAAGAATTCACTTAATCTACTCCATGACTCACATCAGCAGTGGCAAATCAGGAAATAGTACTTTTCTGCTTTGCTGAATGTTGCAAATATAAAATCCTATAGCAATTGTGAGAAATTCAGGTACTACAGAGAAGAGGGTCAGTTAGGGAGCTAAACAGAAAACAAAGAGCAGTCAAATGAAGGGAACATCTGTGTTTTAACTTGTCCACATGATAAACAGTAAAGATAGAATAACTGAGTTCCATTTAATTAACTTCTTGTCTGTAATTTTATTTCATTCATTTATTTTTCCTTCTCTCAACTACAACTCACTCCATTCATCCACATCATAATTTATGGAATTAGAAAAAATTTTAATTATATTTACTTGATCCAAAAATAGCCTTTTTAAGTTGAAGTATGAATTTTCCAGTGTTTTCTTAATACCTTCTAATTCTTCCACAGACATTTCTTTTTCAGCGTTAAATTTTCTTCCCTTCTCACCTTCACTCCTTTTTCTCCAGTGAAAAGAACTGGAGAGGGTTGGGGATTAAAACATTTTCAATAACTACCTTTTTTTCCAAAGGCACAAACATCTAATTTCTCAAACTAAAGAATACAAATGCTTTCTACCTTTCTAAACAAGTTACATTTTTACCAGCCTCATTTCAATATGGCTTTCACTGTTTTGTCAGAACCCCTTGGTTCTCCCTCTGAAAAGCACCATGAACTTTAATCATCCTCCATTTACACTGCTAGCTACCCATTTCTCCTGTCCTTTGCTTTTCCCTTGCTTCACTTCTTTAATGTAAGCAAGTCCCATTCTCTCCAGGACAACGTATCCCTTTCTTCGCTTAATACCTATCAGTGTAGCAGAATGGATTACATCTTTTCTTTCCTATTGTGTGCACCTCCTCACACTTCTAACAATGTGTTTTTCTCAAAATGTTGCACCATTACTTATTTTGTAAATTCTCTTACTTCCTGTGTACTTTCTTATTGCTGAACGGTATCAAAAGCAACAACAAATTTAAATTCTTTTTTACCTCAGCTTCTACTGTAGCACAATATTGAAAACCAGCAGTTTCTTAGACAACCATCAATTTTTATTGCACGAAGGTCTCTTCAAATATTTTCAAAAAAATATTAGCTTTTGCCATTTAAATTGGAAACTGACAATTCAGAGCCTAATGAAAGTTCATGTAATTTGCACAATAAGTACCAATGAACTGGCTAGATGGAATCTCATTTTAAATTACATGGATGAAGTCCACATCTATCAAATGTATTAGGCTCACTAAATTTTTTTCCTTCATTCACACTGTGCTTGGTTCTATCAAAAAACAACTTTAAAACAAGCATTTCCAGACTATTTCTGCTGGACAAGTAGCCTTGAGATTCCAGATGATACCTACTCTCCCAGGTTGGTTGTATTAAGACCTCAAACTGATGTGACGTGAGATGAAAAATGGAAGGATGTGGCTGGATGCAGAAAGCCCTAGCAGCACGCAAACTCCCAGGAGCAGGCAGGACCAGAGATTGTGCCAGGGCTTGCTTAACTTATTTAAAAGCTTTCCTCACAGGCTAGGCAATAAAGTTTTTTGCAAGCAAAGCTACTGTTCTGAAACAAGTACGTAGATGTGTTCTCCTCACCTCTGCACATAGTGTTTAACTCCTGAAGTTCTCTTTCAGCTTCTCTGATTTCTTGAAATGCAGCTGCAATTGGGGACAGATTGGCCAATCTTCTCCTCAGGGCTTTTTGCTCCAAGTCATTTATTGAGTCAGCATTTAACAGATGACTAACCTGCTGGTATTTCTTGCTCAGAGTCTCCAGATACTTCTGCACAGCCTCATGCTTCCACAATGCTTGAATATCCTGATGTTTTTTCCTATGCCAACTGTTAAACGACAGAGTGAATCTAGCTATGTCCAATAAAGATTTTGGCCTCCAGAAGTTGTGCAGTCCCACCACATAACTTATCTTCTTTGCAATAGGAGGGAGAAGACAGCTGTGAAGTTGACAGTGACAGTAGCAATTGGAAAGCAGGCTCTTGAAAAGAGAGACACTTTGGAAAGGTTTCATTTTGTTTCTTATTTTTCCTCTACCTGAAATTAAAAATAGACAGTTTGTGGAGAAGTGTCATTATCTAGAAAAAGAAAACATTCTATTAAACAAACAAACAAACAAAACCAAATAAACACAAGAACTGTATCAAGCCCAAATCCTGTTCTTGATTACACCAATACAAATGCAACTGTCATGGACTACTCCTGTTTTAGTCCTGGTTTAAATCAGAAACTTTTATCAGCACCATTGTACTACCTGAGAGTTGGAAAAGGTCTCTTCCCTCACCTCCTCAAACAGTTTATTTATGCTGTGGAAAAGCTACTGTAGATGTGGCTTTACAGACAACAGCTTAATTTTGTCATATGTCTCAAACGGAAAAATCCAACCATTTCATGCCTTACTGGCAAAAGCAAAATGTTGCTGAGAGAAGAAAAATCTACACTAGAGGTACAGAATTCTATATAATGTATGAAATGTCCAGAACTACGTGCAAAATTATACCTACTACCATAACAGGATATAACTTTGGCAGGAGAACATCAGTAACATCAAGCTGCCCTCACAACAGATTAGTCAATAGGACTACAATCCACTTGCAAAAATTACTCACCCATATATGTACTATATAAGACATAGCAACAGTGCTTTATGTCCCTGTGTACTTCTTCCCATGAGATATTCACATATAAGTGACATAAATATTTTCCATCCAAAAAGTAAGAAGCTGGTACTCTGAAACACAATCCCTGTATTTTTTTGAGATATTTGGCCTACAGTTTTGCAGGATGCAGGCTCCCCTTAGCATCACCATTGCTCTAGGAAAGATCTTTTCCTCTTCATTTTACATCATCAACATTGCAAACTATGTTATGAATTCTTACTGTGTTCTAAAAATTTATATTGAAGTGCAAGGGTCTACCAAGAGAACTAAATTGAAAACATTCATGTTCTAGGACTACTCACACAGGAAAGGTTTAACAAATAAAGAAGCACTCCTTTAATATCTCATATATCTCATGCCACAATCCCATCTGTCTACGATTTTTTACAAAAAAGCGGATTCAGAGAAAATGAGAGCATGAAGCTTTTGCAATAGGCTCTCCTTGAAACATACACTTCAGTTTTCTGACACAATTATTTTTTCCTCATCAGTGATAAGACCTTTTGTGGACCTTTAGACATTTTATTAACAAATTACTATGACATTCTAACAACTCACTTATTATCCTCACCTATTTATTTTCATCCATTTGTACACAATGAAGAAAGAGCAATATGAAGTAAAGCCAGAAGTACTGCAGCTTCCTTGCCTGGATGTCTGTTTTACCACCTACAGAAAGAGGGAAGGGCCTTTATTCTACTTCTGTACCTTCCCAAGATTCCCTAGCCAGCAGGTGCTATCAAACCCACAGCAGCAACTCCAGGACTGCTTTAATTTACAGAAAGCCAACGATACCCCTCATGAACTGTTCTAGTGAATAAAACCAGCTGTAGCAGAGGGATCATTTTCCCTTCACCAGATACACAGCAAAAGACACAAATATGGCTCATCATCTACAATCCTGGATTTAGCTGTTCAGGGGCATAGGTAGACTCAATTCCAAGAGACCTAATCCTGCTGATGATACCACAGTTGCTTCAGATGAGCAAGGCCCATCATCATTTGGTCAAGTGCTAACCATCAGTAGCTAATTTTTAAAATATTAATGTTATCTTTTAATTAATATATTGATCAGAATCACCTATTTTTTTTACTGGTGTAGTTAAGAAGTGATGTACTCAAATAATAGCAGTACTGTAGTATTGTTCTGCCTGAGCTCTCAGAAATAAAATTTAGTTTGAAATGCCTAAAACATGTAAGTAATTGCATGATACTGGCCTTGAAGGAAGTCAGAAATTTCAAAATAATTTTGCTATGTTAAATAAAAAAGGTATCTCCTGTTCAGAGAGATGTTGCTGCATTACATTTATACAGAAATAAGCACACATAAAAGTTTTACAGAGCTATGAGCAGTAGGCTACCTATTAACTGCTTTCCAAACCAGATTTTAATAACTTTATGTGACAAAATTACACCATGAACATCAAAAATCAAAACCAGCAAGAAAATGTGAAAACTGTAATGGTCTTTAATAACAACAACAAAAAATTCCAGACAGGAAAGGGTTATTAATATTGTGAACACTTTAATAGGTTTTAGAAATAATTTCTAACAATCAAAGATGTTATTAACTCCATGGCACTCAGTTCAGACATATGAGAATATGTAGGTACACGGAAGGAGCATGTATTTCCGTGGACACTGTAACAGGAACTGATCAAGGCCCTCCTCTGAGGCCACCTTTCATACACCTCTGCCTCCCACCACAGCTACCCCGTGCAAAGTCCCTGAAAATCGTGCACCAAAGTCCCCCTGGCAGCCGTTCCCCATTGCAGGGGTTACACATGGGTGAGGAAGGCAGGGCTACAGAGCAGGTAGGAGCCGGCAGGAGCAGCCAGAGACTGCGCGACAGCAGAGGGTGGCTGCGAGGGGTACGGGGGGCTCCACTCCCCAGCACCCGTCAAGGAGCTTTGGCCCTCACCATCCGACGGCACACGTCACTCACCGGCAGACGGATCCTACCTCAAAACACGAGGCCATGGCAGACGGGAAGCAGAGCAAAAAGACTCCCAGTCCCAGCATGCCTGCTGAAAAACACAACTCCCGGCGTGCTTCGGCTCAGGCCCGCCTGGCCGGCCGGCCGCCCGCATCACGGGGTGCCCTCACCAAAGGGCTGCCAGCGTCGCTTGAGCAAGACCGCTGGTAAAGGCAGGCTTTGCTTGGCTTTCTGAAACACAAGCCCCGGAATAAAAAATAGAGAAAGTGACCTTTAAAATAGGTCTTCATTTTCAGTATCTTCCGCCCAGCTGCACAGTAACACACTGACTTCAGCAACAATTTAGCAGAAATGGCAAGAATAACAACAATGGGAATGAATACTCACCTCTGTTTCCAGCTTCTAAGCTGTTGTATTACATACACTTTACTGTGGTGTATTTTCCCAAAATATGAGTTGAAAATAAATGTGGTTTCAAATGTGGTTATTAAAAGACTAATTTCAGAGAAGTTTGCATAAAACAACATTAAGGTCCAATTTAAGTCTAAACTCACTATTCCATTATATTTAAAATGAATTATTACTATGCTACTAAAGACAAACATCAGTTACAAAATATTAATAAACATAACCATTCAGATTATCATTATGCTAATAGGCTGCAGCTTCCTAATAAGGTATGTTTAAAAACATATTATGTATATGCACATTTTAATAGATAATATTAAACAGATTATACAACTATCTCCCTAAATGTATTTGCATTTTAAAAAGACTTAAGTAACATTGGTTTTTTTATACCTATCACCCAAACAACTGTCTTCCCAGTTACTACCGTTCTACAGGATTAAAAAAAAAAGGTAAAAATTTGGTATTTGGCACACAGAATGTCATTGGAGCTTGGTGACACAAATACTCCAAAAGACTGAAAACGAGACTAATCAACTGAGGATTTGGATCAAACCTCATCAGCACATGAAAGACAACTAACCACTTGTTTAGGTCTGAGGACAGACACTGGCTATGCTCCATCCAAGGCAGTCAGATTAAAAGGATCTTCCCGAGTATGGGACCCACCCCAGATCTGAGCCAATCTACAAAAGGGCCACAGCAAACTGCACCCTGAAACCTCAAAGGCCCCGGGCCTGCAGCTGTAGTGCCGCACTACGAGAGACACCATCGTCCAGACGCCGTCCCCACCACACCTCGCTCTTCTTCCACTATGACTTAGACCTCAGTGAAATGAAGAAATAAAATTATCCTTGCATTGGGACTCTAAATATGCAATCTGATACTTAAAAATCTTGGGAAGGTAATCTACAGGACAACTGAGAAACTTAATGAGAACATGAAAACTGTAAGCAGACCACACACTCAAAAATTGATTTTAAAAGAAGAGGGTAGGCCAAGGAAAATCAGATCAGCTTCTACTCCAGCCAGTAATGGTTCTTACATCTGATTGTGATTCAGTTTTTATTATGCCTTGGTGGCAAGTTCTTTAACTTCAAGTGTGAAAATAGAAACTGTAACAAACTGCCAGCCCTCCCTACCAGGCAGCAGACCATGCAGGGATTGCATGGGCAAGACGAGGGCTGGACTCTGTCCTATCAGCAGGGTTGCCAGCTATACTGTCAACCACAGGACCTAGACCATGCAGCTCATATTCAAAACATACAAGATACACCCCTCCCCCATATTTACAATATGCTTTTATAACGCAATAAAGGAATTGAGTATGAAGGATGGGAAATCTTGTTGCTGTCTGTGTTTCTACACGGTTATGGTTTGCTTTGATGCCGTAAAACCTGGGTGGCCAAAGCAGCTGCCTATGGAGCCGGTGAGGGCCAGGGGTTGTTACAGGGCGGAGGCTGCTTGGGGCAGGGTGGCACTGCCTTCCTGGGCAGCCCACAGGGACATTGGGTGCAGAAGGGAAGAGCCACAGCAGAAATACAGCAGGGCTGTGGGGCTTTGGCACAAGCATGGCCATCCTGTACGTTAAAATCTGGCAATCCTAAACTGCCAATTGCTTTAGAAACTGGAAGCAAAGAAATGGCTCATCAGACAAAACAGGCTCCAGGCCTTACAATATGCTTGGCTTGAAGGCAGTTCCATCCCACACAGAGGCCCTTTTTCACACAGGGGGCCCTAACCGGGTTTAGCAATCTGCAAGCATCATACCCCAACTTCTACAGATACCAACTAACATTGACAGGTCACAGAGTAAAGTGAGAGACACGGCAAAATCACAAGCTTGTTATAATGTATATATCACTTTAATATTGCTCCCCCCTTTCGACCCAAACAGTTTGTCAACAGACTCCTGAATTCGTTCTGTTTGAAGGAAAAACTGGTGACAGAATCATACGCGTCTTGAATACAGTCCTGTTTATTAACAAAGCCTGTAGAAAGAGCTTTGTTTTGCCCAGCACAGTGGGATTAAATGACAAGAAGTTTTCTTGACTGCGCTCCCAAACCTCTTTCAACTAGAGCTCTGCCTCCCGCAAAAGCTCGTTTCTTTGTTTATTCTCCCCCAGCTAGTCTACAGACATTTCTTTTATTGCCTCCTCGCTTTTCTTTTATTGCTGCTTTTAACACAGATTTTTAATACAGACACGTGTCTAAATCGAAATCGAACCGCTGCCTCTTATTTGCAATTTGCCTATTTTCAGACAGTTTCCAGTATTTAGACTATCAGGAAACTGAGACCTTTAGCTGTCAAGAACAGCCACCAAAGGTCCACCTAGCACAGGAATTGCCTTGACCATCTCGGAGATTCATCTGTTTATCACACAACCCAACCAGAGGCATCACATGCCTTTTGCTAAGACAGAAAACTAGAGTTCATAGAGTCAGGGCTTCTGCTTGTTATAAAAAGTGCTGAATACATGCTGTGGTACAAACAAGCTCTGAAATTGATGCAGCAAGACAAAGTCAAGTTGGCTGTCTTTGTCAACAGTACTCCTGCTCTGAAAAAATCCGAGACCAAATACAGTAGTACTACACCGTATAGCAGAAAGAAGAGCGAATTGCGTCAGCATGTGGAAAATACACATACTACTATCAGTGATCCAGCTGACTGACATCAGTAGAAGCATGCCAGAATAAAAAAGTGAGAAATAAACACTATAACGTTATTCCTTCGGCAAAGAAACTTATTACAGACCATATGTCTAAACAGATTAACAAAACAATGCTGAAAACAACCACCATCCACAAAAACAGTGGCCATAAACTGATGCTCAGCTAAGAAGACCTAGGAAAGCATATGCTGTACTTTAATACTCTCCTCACCTTTGCTATTTTCATCTCAGGAGTCTTCGTAAGCCGACCACATTTTCTTTTTTCTAATTAGTTAGCAGTCCTCAAGCTAGGCTGTCATCCAAGTTACTCTCCTCCAAGAAATTGTCCACTCTCTTGTTCCCTCCTTTAGCCTGAAAATAAAGCAGCTATCTTGTCCATCAGCTTCAGCAAGGCTTGTGGCAAGTCAAAGACATGCTGCTTGGGATCCTCAGTCACAGTCACCTACTTTATGTGCCACCAAACAAAGTATGTTAAGTACACAGCTTTTCTAACTGACTCTTGTTATATACTATGTTCCACACACTTGCTTTACTGTGTGTATCTACCATGTTCATCATCTGGGATGGATGGTAGGCGGATAATCATATTACTACAAAATTAATATCCTTTTAAAACATACCAAAATATAATTAATATTTTAAAGGGTAATTACATAAACAGAGATTCTCATTGAAGCTGCCTAATTTTTTCCCCTCTAAGATGGTCTTTAATTTGTTACAACCTTGACAGTTTAACCAGTTTTCCTTCCACGTAAATGCCCCAAGCCATGTGGGTTTAGTGTTTCCGGTTGCGGGTTGTTGTTTTGTGTTTTGTTATTTAATTTTTACAAAGATGCATTTAAGAACAATTTCCGAGAATAACAAGAAAAAAAAAATTATTTTCAAAAGACCTTAAACCTCTTTTGGTGAAGGAGCCAAGCCATGAATAAATGCTTACTGTTCTAGGCATGCACGATGGTGCTG